AACATTAACTTTGTGGCAGATGAGAAATCCAGTCCATTTCTGTCTTTGAGGTAAAACATCCGCAAGAATTAGAGACTTCAGACAGTCTTCCTATTAAAGATGTTCACTATACTGCCCAGAAAATAACAGTTGAAGAGGGTATTGGATTATATGCACAGTCTGATAATATCTTTTTCTCAAAGAAGAAATGGCAAAGAAGTTGACAACACAGAAAAATATTATCTCAGTATTTCTGGAGGCCTAAGGTTAGAGTATTTTTACAGAATACAGAAGTAAATTTTATTAGAAAAAACAGGGATTTATACCAAATATTCCCTTGAGCCTAAGTAACCTATCAAGCTAACATGACAGTTTCTGTAGACCAGTGGTCTCCAAACTTTTTTGATCATGCACCCCTATCAGTAAAAAATTTTTGAGCACGCACCTCCAATATATGTATATTTATTTATTTATAAATTATATACATGTACTACTCGTGTACTGTTCATGACACATGACTGTCTGACATACGGACTAAGTGAGGACGTCAGTGTCAATCTGTATATTAAATATTAGTAAAGCTTAATTTCTTTCTTATATTTTTAGATAAAAAATAAATATAAATAGAAATTCTAATATTTTCTTCCCGCATCCCAATGGATTGTCTTGCGCACCCCACTTTAGCCAACTAAACCAGAAAGGGTCTGTAAATGAATAACAGATATAAAACATTATATTCAAATTAGGGTTGTGACAAACATATATCTACTATATGGAAGATGCTGGATAATGTGTATAATTACTGCAGCAATTAGTTTCTCATATGTCAAGAAAAGCTGGCAAGAGTAACAGTTATATTCATACTTAATGCATTTTGTGTTTGGAGAAGTTTCCCAGTCAGAGCAGGTTTTAATCTTTTCAATCTGTTGGTTGGTCATTTTTTTCTTTTTAAGCAACACATCTCTTCACATTTTAATGCAAGAAAATGCCTAATTTAATACAGATATTCAAATACAGTCCAATTTTTATGATAGCTTTTTTGTTTCTGGTGCCCATTCTTGAGTATGCTGCCTATCTCCCAAAATGTGCTGCATATGGGATTACTCAGAGTTCATTGAAGTCTGAAAAATATTCCCTTTAGTCCTGTGATGTTATCCTGCCTTCCCTTTTACTTTATTGCAACTCTAATGCCATCAGAGCTGTGAAATAAGTATTTTGAATTAGTTGGTCAGTTCTTGAACAAGAGAAAAGAAAACACCCATCCAACTCTCTTCTCTTCCTGCCATGGCAGGGGGTTGGACTAGATGATCTGCTCAGGTCCCTTCCGACCCTAGAAACTATGAAACTATGAACTCTATAAAATGGAGGGTGGCAATAGGATTACTTTTATCCACAATTCAGGAATTATTTAAAACACTGAGATAACATTTTATTTTTAGCCATGTTACTTGCTATTCCAAGTATACTAGCTTAAGGAGCTGAAGATGAAGGAAGGAGTTCCTGCTTGTTTATGTGTGTTATTTTCTATATCTCTCATACAGAAATGAGACATGCGTAAGTGTTTTAAATATAACACAAGCCCCTAGGAAGGCTCTGTCTACATAGTACAAAAATGCCACATGTGTATCTGAGCATATTGGGGTGGTGGGGACACCATGTTTAAAGATAGTTTGTGGTCATCCTGATTAAAGATGGAGCATGCAGTTAAGAATGCACTTTCAAATTGAATTTGTCCTTTTCATGACTTTTCATTACTTAACTAGGAAAACTTAATGTTGTATGTATATAAGTTTTTTTGTATTTATTTTCTTGATTTCTTTTCTAGATTTAAAAAAAATAAAAATTAGCTTGAGTGGGAAAAGGGTAATTAAAAGGAAGATGTTTCATTTTTTTAGGGCTTCAAAGGCCTGTTATTCTTTAAAATAAGGAGCTTGTGCTTAATGTTTTAGGTTTGTCTTCAAGATCCTTCTCAGCTGAACTCCTTCCTACTTTTCCTGAACTTCTCCTCCTTCTTATTTCCTAGTTGCCTTTAGTTTTCTGCCCTGATCTGCCCTTCCTTTATCTGTCTGTTTTCTTATCAGCAGAGATCTGGGTTTTTTATTTCCCATGGAAAATGGAGAAAAACATAGTTTTCCCCTTCTACCCTAGAAAAATGTGGATATTTTCATTTTAATAGAAAAACCCACAGATTTTGCAGTTTTGCAGCAAGCTCTCTGCAGGCTGGCAGAGTTCCAGCCTACAGAGAGCTGAGGGGGGAATGGGAGAAGGGCGGTCAGGCAGGGGGCGCCATGTGAATATATGCACGTGGCCTCCCGGCAGCCTGGAGAGCAGCTACTGCAGGTGAGTCTGGGGGGAAGGGGGATGGAGGCCCCCATAGGGAGGGAGGGAGGGAGTGAGTTGGCCAGGGCTGGGGCTGCTGCCCAGCTATGGGGTGTGTGAGGTTTGGGGCCCAGGGCTGGAATGTGAGACAATAGGGCCTGGCAGGGAGTGGGACAGGGCCACGAGTGGCTTGTCTGGGGAGCAGGGGGTGGGACTGGCTCCCTGCCATTTGTGCACTTGTGGGGGAGGGGGTACCATGCTCCCCAGATCAGTGAGCTGTTCGCTGTGGGCTAAGGCCCCCCACCCTGCTGCCCTTCCCTGGGGCCTCTGCAGCCCAGCAGGTGTGACCCGGCACCGCAGGGCAGAGCAGGTCCATGCAGGGAAACTCCTTGCCAGTGCACACTCTGTGCTGCCCTGACGAGGTGTCTGCTGCCTGTGCAGCAGCAGTGAGGAGCACAACCCCATGCTGCTGCCTATGTAGCTACTGTGTGGGCAGGGGGTGCCTCACCAGGACAGCAGAGAGCTTGCAGCAACAAGTAGATTCCCCACACTGCCCTGCAGTGCTAGGTTGTACCTTCTGGGTGGTGAGGGGCAGGGGCATGCACCTGTGTTCTGTGAACTAAGGGGGCAGGGTGAGCTTCAATTTTCCATGATAAAAAACCCAAAATGTATAGGTATTTAGAATTTATTTTATTATAGTGATTGGGGCAATGGTAGGCTTCCAAATTTCTTTAAAATTGTAAATGTATCAAGAAAACATTGTGTTCAACTGATAGATAGATAGATAGATAGATAGATAGATAGATAGAGTGGCCTTTCATTTTAATCATGGATTTGGGGTTTTTAGTCAGAGAATTTGCAATATAGACATTGGATTTATGACATGTTACAAGCTGCCTGACATCTGATTCTCCAGGTACCTGCCAGACCTGACCGCTTACATTTCCTTCCTCCCCTTCCCCCTTTCTCCCCATCCCTCCCCTAATTTTCTTCTTTTTGTCTTCCTAATTTCCAGCTATTCTTTTTCACAGACAGCCTCTTTTCTACCTTGAATTACTACTACTGTAGAGTTTCCCTTACTCGCCTTTGGCTTTCCCTCCTCCCTCCCCTGCTCTACCTTTTGTTTTCATAATTTCCATCCATTTACATTCTCACTGATATCCTATCACATTTTTAGCTTCTCTCATTCCTTGGAGTCTCAGAACAGGAGAGACTTTCTATGCCTGAAGAGGGGTGATTGCACAAAGAAGGGTGACTGCCCAAAAGCTTCCTAAAAACTTTTTTCTAACTACTAAGCTGATCTAATAAAAGATGTCACATCTATCCAAAGAACTTGCCTGCCTATGTTCTAAGACTAACAGGGCTACAACCAAAACCCCACTAAGCTCTTGCAGTGTTATTAGATCATAAACACAAATTCTGAAGAATGTTTTACTAAACATGAGGCAGAAAATCAATTCTTTTAATTGTTAAAATAAGCAGAAAAGGTTTTGTTGGTGTGGCAGGCCAGTAGGGGGTGCTTCTGTGTTGAGCTACCCACCTCACTGCACTCAACCACCTTTCAGGCTCCGAGTGCCTCACTGGGGGCACCTCACATCTGGCCGACCCCCTTCCTGGAGCACACCCACTAGCCTGGGGGTTCCACTGCCACCACCCAGGGCTGGGCTTGATTCTGACTCTGTGCACCCTCGGAAACACAGGCCTAGTAGCCCTTGAGGGTACTTGATTTACTTCAAGAACTTGGGATGCTTCCCTCAGTCAGAAGCACAAGTAGTGGTCTCCCTTAGTCAGCCGAATCAAGAGGACCCAAGGCATAATCTAGATCCACTCCCAATAAGTCTCCCAGACTAGGTACAAAGGAGAACTTTATTGGTTACAAGGAGTAGGGTTGGAATAGGGTACAGGGTAGAGCAATATCAGAGAAATCCAATAGAGCAAACTCCCATGGCTGGGTGGCCTTTGATCACGCATCTGAGTTACTGCAAGTTATATATCTAGTTAGATCTCAGGTAAATTACTTACAAGTATCATCCACAGGCAGGCGGAGATTCCCTCTGGAGGCAGGCAGTTCCTTGATCATGAGTTTTGAGAGAAAGAGAGCAAGCAAGTTTCAGCTGATTCAGCTCTTCTCTCTCTCTGAGTCTCCCTCATGGCTGCTGCCCCCTCTTCCTAGGCAGTCCTTGACTTTTATAGCCCTTGTGACCTCATTTACCTGGTCCAATGGAGGTCAGCATCTGTTGGCTGTCAGCCAACCAATTTGAAATACATCACTAGTTGCTGGGAAGACTGGCAATTCCTAGCTCCCCAGGGAACAAGCCCCTCATCCAGGTATGTGATACCAGTCATGTAGGCAGAGGGAGCAGGTTTCCCCCCTCCCTCAGGAATGTATACAGCTCAGGTAACCTGAAGAGATAGGGTAAGGTGTGTATCCTCTGCTGGGCCCATTCTAACCAAATTGTCACAGGGCACAGTTTTTGGGGAGAAACAGGGGTGGCCTTCTGCCACAGTTGGTATGAAATTCAAGTACGTTCCTCTGCAATAGCTGTGCTGTATAAAGAGATATGTTTAAAAATCTATAGTTTTCATTAGCAGAAAATGGTTTTGATTCTGCAAGCAGTACTAGTAACTAACTGTGTGAAAACCCCTTTTGCACATCAAGTTTGTTAACTCTAATGCCATTGTATTGCCTTCTATTTTGACAGATACCGACTGAGTTTCAGACCACGTTATACAATTGCGTATAAAATGGTAACAGAACTGGAGTGGAGATGTTGTCCTGGTTACAAAGGTGTAGACTGTAGAGAAGGACCAGCAGAAAAACTGAAAGCCAGTCTTTCTCCCACTATACAACCACAGGCTGCTATGAAGAAAGGCTTGGGTAACTTTTTGTTTTGATTGTGGTATGCACGATCATGCCTAGTTTTTTGTTTTGTCCGTTTATGGTTTCCTTTACACTACAACCAAAAGGTACAAAGACAATATACAAGACATATTGTATAATGGAAAAACATTGCAAAGCAATAACAGCTGTGTTATAGGGCATGTCCTGAGGAATAATGAATGGTTGGGTTAGAAGATTTGCTATAAACTCCAGCTAGTCACTAAGGGTGCATCCACACATGCAAGCACGTGCGCTTGCAGCAGCTCAAATAGAAGCGGTGCAAATTTGAGCCAGGGCTTTTTGCCTCAGTGCACGTGCTCGGACATGCACTTTGTTGTGGAGCAAATTGTGCCACTAGGGGCAAAATAACCCTGCCTAGCTCCTCCTGGACCTTCAGCCAGGGGGAGCTAGAGCCCGGGGCTAGCACCTGTGCTGTCCCCAGCAGTATAAAAAGCTGCCCTGGCAAGTAGCTCAGGGTTACTAGCTCTCAGGAACTTCCGGGGCCCAGCCAATTGGTACTTGGGGATACTACCCCTTATGCCAGCTGGACTGCTGAAGCAGCCCTGAGAGTTCCCTGCACCCTCTACCCACTGCAGCAGTCTGGCAGTGGGGGATGCTGCCTGGCTGTGACCTGCTGTGCACCTGCCAGACTCAGATTGGGACTGCAGAGCCAGTAGAGGCATCTGCCCCTCTGGGCCAGGTGCCAGTGGACTGAAGTTGCAGGGCTGGCCTTTGTGTGGCACTCCTGGCACGTGTGCCCCCTGCCCAGCCATCTGGGCAGCTATCACCCGGGAGATGTTCCGGGTGTGGTGGCCTGCTTTGAACTGTCAAATCATATCCTCTTGGCCCCATTTGTCCAGGAGGTCAGCCACAGCCGGATGTGTCCAAGGTGCCAGCTCTGAGCAGGCAGGGTCCTGCCACTGGCCTCCCTAGCAGGAATTCTGGTGTTCCCTATTAGAAAACTGAAAAATCCCTGATTAAAAAAAATCCCAAAATCACTCTCTAAAATACCCGCAAATCCATGTTCCTCCACAAGTGAAACAAAAGACCACTATAAAGAGAGAGAGAGAGTGAGACAGAGACAGCAATCGGTTGGACAATGGTTTATTGCTATATCTACAGAGTTAAAGCAAGTCTCTTATAATAATAAAGTGAACTCTAAATACAGGTTTCATGAATTCATTAATACATATTTTGTTGCCCTCGCACAGGGCGATGGCCCCCACACAAGGGGTTGGTCCCCCACACAAGGGCTATGGCCCCCCAACCAGGGGTTCAGCCCCTACACAAGGAGTTCAGCCCCCCAACAGAGGGTTCAGCCCCTACACAAGGGCTCTACCCCACAACAGGGAGTTCAGCCCCCCAACAGGGGATTCATCTCCCACACAAAGGGTTTGGTCCCCCAAAAGGGGGTTCAGCCACCCAACAGGGGATTCGGCACTATCACAAGGGGTATGGCCCCC